GATTGAAGTGAAGTGTGTTTGCTGCTGTCTGTGTGTGTGGGAGGGGCTGGTCATTCTTAAACCAGGTGAGCTGTGTCTGTGCTGGAGAGCAGCTCACTGTGTCACAGGTCAGGGTCACACTGTCTCCTTCTCTCACTGCTGCAGTCTCCCCTGATGGGCTCCTCCACACCTTTAGTTCTGCATTAACAACAAATAGTGTCACTCTTTTTGCTTTACAATATACACAGCCCTACTGAAATATTAGAGAATTAATGATTCCAATGGGATGGTCCGTTCTATCCGAAACCCATCCATTTATTTTCTAACTGCTTCGTCCAGTTCGGGCTCATGAGGAGCTGGAGCCTGTCCTGGCAAGCCGTGGGCGCAAGGCAGGGTCACCCCGGATGGGATGCATCGCAGTCCAAAACCCTGATAATCAACAATATTGTGTTAAAAAGGTTCTTAACTTTAGAGAATTTTCCTCACACTCCACATAAAGAATACAGAGAGAGTTTTTATGCATAGGAGAAAAGTTAGAATTTGTCACAGAATTTCACCAAGAATTAAATGAAAAAAACACTTTTATAGAAACCCAAAACATCAACATGTTTTCACTTTTCGCAAAGAGCTGTGGGAGTGTGGAACAAGCTGCCCAGCCATGTTGTTAAAGCCGATACCCTGGCTTCTCTCCACACACAGCTGGATGAGATTCTGGGATCAATTAGCTACTAAACCACCAGAGGAGCCAGATGAACCGAACGGCCTGGTCTTCTGTTCTTGCACCCTAATGGTTTCATTGGCCAGTTGAATCTTTAACCTTCCATGGGCCTCGATTACGAACCTTAACCTTGAATTCCAACGAGCATAATTTGTGCCTTGAAGACGGTTCGTAAGGTGAAAATTCATAAATCAACAATTAATTCCCATAAGATTATACATAAACCCCTGCAATTAGTTCCCAAATCCCAGAAAACAAATAACAATAATTTTCACTTTTATGTAGTACAAAAGCATGACAGTGACAACAGTATTCTTTGTTAATTATTGATCACGACATCTTGGTTACCCTGACAGATCACTTTCCACAAGTTAAATGATTTTTACGTTGTACAGTAGTTATGGTATTGAAGTAGCACACTAAACTTACTGAACAAGTCCTACACTAAGTACTGACATTTAGTTCCTTTGGTTACAGTGGGATGCTCACCAACAAAGAAATTGTCTTAATTATAGGGAAAATGTTTGTTTTTTACAAAACATAGGAAGAAAGTTTCTTGAAAATAAAAATGAATCAGATGGTTGTTTGTAAATCTAGGGTGTCTATTTGTTTAATCATTTTAACTTAACAGTGTTGTGTTTTGCCTGTTATTTTTATCTTTAACATTCCAGACTTTTTATAAAACAAAAATCCAATCTTACCCGTTACTGAGAGACTCACTCCAGGAAAACCACTCCATTTACCTCCAGGATTATTGGTTTCAAATCTGAATCTATATTCCCCCTGGTCAGAGGTTCTTATATCCTTTATCTTCAAAGTGCAGGTCTTCTGTTTATCCCCCAGATACTCTGTTCTGTTCAGGTACTCAGGTAAGACAGAACCACTTTCGCTGCTGTAAACAAATTTATCTTTCATTGCTTTTCCAGTGAAACATGAATCCTTACACCACAGCACAGTGTCCACTTTAGACTGAGGATAATCATAGGAACAGTTGAAGACCACAGAGGAGCCTCTCACAGCACAGACAGATCTCTCTGGATACCACACAGCCCACTGGCCACAGAGGACACCTGCAGAGACACCAGTTCACCCATCAGCACTGACCTGTTAACAGCCCAGCAGAGCCCAGCAGAGTGACAGTGTGAGCAGGCAGTCATGACACAGGAAATGGGCTCAACAGGAGCTCAATGTGACTAAATAAGTGTCTAGTTTCTGAACACAGACACAGCCCTCTGTGGGGAAGAGTCAGACTCTGGAGCTGAGCTGCTGTATAAAGAGGCTGCAGACCAGCCAGGAGGGGCCGAGAAATGACTGATCATGTGGTAGTCAGTCAGGATATTATTAAGACACTCTAGTTAAAGTAGCCTATTATAGATAGGACTGCTACACCAGAGCTTGACGGAACACAAACAAGCACTACCGAATTCCATGAAGTCAGAGCACAATAAAAGAGTATTAAAATCA